TGACTTACCGTCAAATTTCTCCACCTTGAACTTGGTTACTATCGTCCTCATCGTCATAGTAGCTCTGATACCAATTGTTGGAATATTCAAACCACGGAAGATAAAACTTAAACAATCAAGAATCCCTAAATCTACCAAGCAATCAAGACAAATAGCAAGCAATAAGATTAAACGTGGTTCCACGTGATCAAGATGATCTGTGTACGTCCATAGGGAGAAGAGGGAAGATCTTATTTCTTTTGAGAAGAGATTACAAGAAGTTAAAACTACACACCCCTAACAATGGTGGAATATAGATCTCTCTTTTTTTCTTGTTTTTAAACCCATGAATTGATACAATATATATAGAGATTTGATTTTGCTCAATTCTATTAGAATTCTAACTTGAATCCTAATTGGATTTTTCAATTCAATTAATTCCTTCAATCCAATCCTAATTTGGAAAGTATAACTAATCCTAATTAGAGTTCAAACACAATCCTGCTTCTCAACTGAATTGAGTCATCACGAACTCAACAAAAGTCTCAAGCTTCATCATCACAAATCTTTCTTATCTGTGATGTGATGAGAACATCGTGAGTCTAAATATCATGTGCTTCCATGCTCCTTAGCTCTCTAATGAATTTCATTATCTGAATTGTCATCCTCAGAATCTTTTGTAATAGGATCATTGACAATGAGACAAGGACTCTTATCATTTGAGCTCAAATCGCTTTCTGATTCTTCATATTGGCTTGAGAAACCTCACGACGTCACCTTGAAGCTCTTATTCTTTCCTTCGTAGTCGCTCTTGTTCAGAAGGCATTCATTTCTATAGTGTTCTGGTTTCCTGTAACAATGATAAATAATTTTAGAATCTGAATTTTCATGTTTAGTTTTCATTGCCTTATTGAAATTTTGAGTCTATTTATTTTTCATGAACTTTTGCCCATCTTTTATCTTTAGGAATGATTTAAATCATCTAACTGCCAATATCATCTCACTTTCGTCATCACTATCAGAGTCTGAGCTTAATTCTCTGTTCTTCTTGAATTGAAATTTATCCTTTTAGGCCATCAGGGCTAATGACTTTTTCTTAGAATCATATTCAAAAGGATCTTCTCTCACTTTCAATTGAAGCTTATATGTGAGAAGATTACCTATAAGATCTTTAAGAGTTAAGCTAGAAAATTTTTACAATTCTTTAATAGTTGTTACATTTAGTTTCCAATCCTTAGAAAGAGAATAAAGAGTTTTTCTATGCAACTCTTTGTTATTGTACTCCTTTACTAAAGCTTTAAACTTGTTCACGATCTCAGTCAATATGTAAACATCTCTTGAATGCTCTCTAACGCTTTCATCTTGAAATTTTCATATTTACTGACTAGCATCGTGAGTTTTGTCTCCTTTATCTGTGAATTTTCTTCGTGTGTAACCTCTAATATTTTTCAAATTTTATGCATAGTAGTACAATTTAAAACATGGTTAAGTTATTTAGCAGTTAAAGACCAATAAAAAAATTCATAGATTTAGCATTTAATGATTAAGGCTTTTGTCCTGTGGTGTCCACTTATTCCTAGATGATAGAAACCTCTTCTACCATAATAGAATGTTCATTATAGCCATTTTCTATACTATTCCAAACATGAAAACTAGTGGACAATAAAAAGACTCTCATTCATGCCTTCTAATAGGTGCAGTTTGTTCCACCGAAAAGTCAGGATCGGTTTACAGTGGGCCCCTCAGGAAAAATCATTGCGGCGATCAAACTAGACATCTCTACCATAGGTTGTGAACCCTAAGGATGGGTAATGAGACTCTAATACTACTTGATGAATCTGAGATGCAAGCCTAGAAGGGAGTTGTCATGCTCAGGCTTGCTAGCCCGTTGGCGCGATATAAGCCGTGAGATCCACTGAGTGTAATGCATTATTTAGCTTAATCATTGCCAAAATCGACTAGCCGATGTTACACTTGAGTCTAGACTTACCTATTTAAGTCAATTCACTCATTTCTCAATGTGGGACTAAATGAGCGTCTCACAATCACCTTACATAAGCGACATCCTTGTCGCAACATGATAATTAGCACATCTCAGTATCACTAAGTGATGTGAACGATAGAGGTTGCTCCTATGGGTTCTAGAGATGGTTCTCACTATGCTCATGTGATACAGCACTTAGTCTCGCATAACACTTAGCTCCACACTTCTGGCTGACAACTGCTCTAATACTATTTGTCATGTCTTGGACCTGTGAGCCCGCTGAGGAAATATAATCTGTGGGACTCACCGAGTGTAAGATATTGTTTGGCTCAATCTACTGCCAAAATCGACTAGTCGATGTTACAATTAAGTCTTGAGCTTACCTATTTAAGCCACTTGACTTTTCACTCATTTCTCGAAGTGGGAGTAAATGGGGGTCTCACAAAGATAAATAGGTTTGCTACAGTTTTTCGTTGAAATACAAAATAATAAGAAAAACATAGAAAAATAAAAGCGAACAACTAAACCAAAAACTAACCAAGGAATACGCGAGATTTTTATAATGGTTCGAATAATAATCCTATGTGTTCTCTTCCTTCTCATGAACGTACTTCTCACTATGACCATAGTTCATCTAAATCACAACCTGATTCAGTAGGTTTATAAAGATCGCTCCCTGAAACCTATCCGAAATCAGTCGTCTAACCTAACTCCTCACAGATGAGTAATACCTAGCCCTTAATATTCCACTCTCAATTATCACGGGCTTGAGTACGCCGTAAAAACAAGATAAAATCAAACAACCAAAATAGTTTAAGCACAAATTAAAAGATTTTACAGCACTTTTTCTAAGCAACCTTTCCTCAAAAGATTAAAACAAAGCTAGATGTAAAAAAAAGTGATGATGTTGAATCCGAAGGTAACTTTCCTCACTGATACGATCCGAAGATGATGAGCACGATGAGAAAAAGTTTTACGAGGCTCTGGAGGTTCGAATCATAAATCAAATCTTCTTCACAATCCCAAGAATAAAATCTCCCAAAAAGCTCTCTATTTACTCAAAGCATAGAACCTCTCCAAAATATAGTCTCCTATCTTACATAGCCTTTGATAAATAGGAAAAGAGATATTGAAATCATAATAGGAGCTGGAGATGAAAGGGATCAATGAATAGTTGTAATTAACTTTTGAAATCTAACAAAATACATCGTTATCATCTATAGACAATCCAGACCATCGATAGCCCATTGATGTACGATCGATGGTTCGTTGTAACGAATTGATGGTTGAAAAAGTGATTTCTGAAAATTACCAATTGTGCACTATACACCATCGATTGTGATATTGATTATCGATGGTTGTCTGACGACCATCGATGATGTCAAACCTAGTTTCTTGAATTCTTTGATTGTGCATTGTAGTCCATCAATTGTCTCCTAACCATTGGTAGTGTGTAAATAGCCATCGATGGTATGGTGCCTGAAATCAACATAAATGTTGAGTTTTGCATCGTTTTACCTCGTATCTTTCTGTTCATCTATTTATATTCGTAATATATCATCTTAAATAATCATCAATAATGAATGAGAGCTTGTTATTATTCAAATAAGAGAGATTGTATGAACTTTGTTCTAACATTCCCTTCTCCTGCATTACA